GTCTAATCAGGAAGGAAGGAAGATGGATCATTAAGGTCAGCTCTGTTCCAGTGATCTGACAGGATCTTCAGCCCAGGCCTGAAAGAAGTGACCAGGAACCCATACTGCAGATGATGGGCCATTGCTTGCCCAAAGCGGTGTAAATGCTGATTTTATGTCTTCTCCATAGTGTGATGCTGGCACAAGACTCTTCCCCTCCCTGTGTACCTCCTTCCTCCTACTTAGCCCTGTCTTGGAGAGTCCTCTGTTGAGCTACATACCCACCACTCCCTGCTTCTCTGGGAGCAGACACACCATCAGGCCAGATGTCTGACATTCCAGGTTGTGCTTGTCTGTTTCTCTGTCCATCTATACTTGTCTCCCTCCCAAACTACTTTCTTGGCAGAATGCCCTTTGGAAAATTAAACATTGCTTCCAGGTAGAAACAGAACACAGGAAGGGAATTGTATTCAATTGTACATCATTCAAAATGCCAGGAAAGAGAAGAATCCAACGTAACCTTCATAAACTAAGGGGAAAAGAAAGTTGGTCTAGGTTTTCTCTATTTTATTTTTTATTTTTTTGTTTTAATGATAATGCTCAATGCTGGTAGGGTCACAGTGAGAAGGCATTCCCAGTGTTGGTAGGAGTGCAGTTTGATAGGATTTTTTGAAAAGCTATTTGCAGGATATATCAAGACCCTTAAAAGCAGCTCCTAGCCTTTGACCCACTAATTTTACTTCCAGGAATTTATGCTAAGGAAACAATCGGTGATACAGACAGTGATCCTCTACAAGGATATGATTGCAGCACTGTTTATAATAGTTAAAGGGGGGTAGTGATCTGAATGTACACAATGAGTGAATGGTTACATAAATCAGAGTGTACTGTACAATAGTCTGTAGCCACTTTAAAATGCAATATCAAATGCTATTTAATGACATGGGAAATTTTTGTTATTTATTAAATGATTTTAAAAAAACAGCTATTAACTACATATGGAGCATTATGCCCCCCAAAAGTGAGGGGGACGCTATTGTCACTATTAACTTTATTATTTTTCTCCTTGCCTTTTCATACTTTTCAATTCCTACCAAGCTGACTATAATTTCGATTATCAGAATATAGAAAAATTATCTTTCTTCGTAATGGTCAGCTTACCTCTCCAGTAAGAGCACTCTTCTTGTACCAGCTCCATGACTGTGTTGAGGAGACCAGAGAGGGTCTGCCATATTCATCTTCAAATTGGGAGCTTGCCTGGGCAGCCCCGTCCACAGCATGGCAGGCATGCCCTGGCTGGTACACCAGACGTTCCATCATTCAAATGAGTCACCACAGAAGGGTGTCAAGCTGATGATATTGCTACACACTGTGCTTTAACTATCGGCCACAGCCCTGCATGCTGCCAAGGCTTTTAGCCTTATCTTCCTAACCGTTATTCTTTCACTGTCCAGTGAATGTCAGAGGAACTGACTGGGACTGTCTGACTCCTTCTGGGGACTCTGTGGGCCAGCAAACTGGATCTGATGCAAGCCTTCCAGTTGGATGCAAACCAGACCAGCAAATGTTCCATCCATGCTAAAGTTAAAGCTGTTGTCATTGTTGCTATAGTTGGGCTTTGATGAGGGTCCTGGCAGGACCCCAGGAGTACCCCAGGAGTACTTAGGGTGCTGGGGTGTTGAACTCCAAAATACCAGGCTGAACTGAGGGTTGTAGGGAGGGTTTTAGAGGTCATCTGCTAAAACTGTAGTTACAAAGTTATTTCTCCTATCTTAACTTTAATTTTGATACCTTTGGCCTCATTAATGGGAACAAAAGTTTGAGAATTTGATACTGAAGGTTTTAGAGCCAAGAATGAAATTGAACATTTTTTTATTAGCCTGTTTTGCTTGGGATTTTTATGGAGTGAGTTTTTTGTCAATTGCTGTCATTTTTAAGCAAATTATAGCCAGATACTGCTGTAGTGAAGGGAAAACTTAACATTGTACAGTCTTAGACCATTATCCTCATCCCTGTACCTCTTTTATTCCACTTATATGTTGTTTGAGTTGCATCAACACTAAAATGTAATATGCTCTGTGTCTCTTGGAGGAGTATTTTTATGTAGATAGGCCACCTGTTGGTATGAGCATCATTGTAGTATATAAAATGTGCACTAATATTATTGATAGGGACATTTATGACATGTCTGTGAAGTACAAGTAAACAAAAGTCATAATTCCTTTAGTGTTTTAAAAATAGAAGTACCAGGGAGTGTGCATTTTATTGTTTACACTAACTCAAATGTAGCGGTAATGAATTTTTAAATTGTGGTCATTTCATAGCAAATAAATGTTATTGCTGTGGCTAAAACACAAACAAATGAAGTTCTGTTAGTTGTTAAAAATAGCAGTTGATACTATGGCAATTGACATGGGGATTGACGACTAACTCAGAGTAGTTACGCATACCCTGCATTCCAGCCACACCCCCCATGCTTTCAGCCCTGTCCTACTGGCCAAGAACCATTTATATATAATGATGATATGAGAAAACACTCAGAACCCACGTGTGTTCTTGACTAGGTTCCCACTTCTGCCTTTAGCCAAAGGCATAATTCTTGGTACAGACGGGATAGGAAGCTGAATTTGTTTCCTACATATAAAAATCATTTTTTAAAAAAAAGATATAAAGACTTGTTAGTTATCCTGTGGCAACCACTGACCAAAGGAACAGATTAGTCCAGGCCCCTAGGCCTCTAGGACTGGGCTGTTTTCAAACCTCCAAATCATTCCTGGTCAGACTTGGGTGCCTGGGCTGTAGTCATTGCCAGGCCTTGCCTCTTAGGACATTATCTAGTGGGGCAGGGTCAAATGAGGGGACTGAGAAAGTAAGCCCTCTCTTGCCAACACTGTGCTGAGGACTACAGTGGAAGTGAGGCAACACTGCTCCAGGACTAGACTGAGTCGAGCGGGAACAGGTATTACACTAATAATAGAGTGACTTATCCCTTAGCTCATGGATCTTGCTGTTTTATATTACAATTGTTTTTTTTTAATTTGCCCCATCTTGTCAGATATATTTTCAGCTCTTTGAAGTCAAGGATCTTGGCAAATTCCACTTATTGTCATGATCATTCTAGGGACTCAATGACAAGTCTTTGCTAGATTGAGAAAAAAAAAATTTAAAGAATCATACACTGAATTGAATTTCTTCCCTTATATGAATTCCATTTGCTATATGAATCTACCAGACAGAACACTAGAGGCAGGATCCTGGAGTTTGTTGGAATTTACAATGTGTGGAGTCTTATTGAATCTGTCCGTGGCTGCATTCTCATGCTCCCTTGCAGGTGTGGTAGCATATACAGGAAATTCAGAAATCAGTGGTTAAAAAAAAAAAAAAAAAAAGTTGTTAATGCTATGACTAGGTCTGTAAAGAAGCTCAGCACAGCTTTGAGGCACTCAGCAAGACCAGTTGTCCCAGAGACAGTACACTGGTAAAAGAGCCCTGAGCTTGGGGATTGGGATTTGAACCTCAGCCTTGTCACTTACAGGGTGGCTGTCCTGAGGCAAGCCTCATGTTAGCCCAAGTTTTCACATTTGTGAAATGGCAATTTAAATAGTGCCTGTTTGCAGGCTTGTGGGGTCATGTTAAATGAGATTCACTAATTTACTCACCAATTACTTATTGAATACCTGTAATGTACTATTTTAGACATTGAGATACAACGATAAGCAAAAGGGAAAAATCCCTGCTGTTATGGAATTTGTATTCTAGAAATATAATACACATAATGGCATTTAATGAACGTTTCATCAGATTCATCTGAGGATATCTAATGAACTTATGAAATAGATTTTTCCTGTATGTTTCCAAAGGTGTTTATGTTACAACAATAGGTAATTAGGGCCATTATAGAATCTCACCTCTGAATTGGTGTACCCTAGAGAAGTCTCATTTAGTAAAACATACATGTGTTCTTGCTTAGAAAGTCTCCTCCCCTTGAATTAGACTTCTGTCTTTTTTTTACCTCCATAAAGTGCTTGGTCTGAACAGCCCAGCAGTCGGCTGAGACTCAGGGGCTGCAGGCAGCATTCCGGCCAACTGGTTTCCATGTCTTCTCAGCCCTTGGTGTTTGCACTATCTGGGACTTAAGGTGATTTCAAGTGTTTGTATAATTTGTGGAAATAAGTCAAAGGGCTAGTATGGTCAATTAAAATCCACAAGCCATATTTTAGTGAGTAATTTCAACCTTTCCTCTTCAAATCTTTGATCAACCACCCATCAAAGAACAAAATGGACAGATTTAAGGTTTCAGTGCTTTTTTTTTCTTTTTCAAATTGCCTTACCACTGGGGCTTTTTCTTTAAGCAACAAAATGCCCACCAGAATCCACGAAAGGAGAAACTGCTAACCTAGAGAGCAAACCTCCAGGGAACTGCACGCAGCCGTGTTTGCACACCACCTTCTAAGAGGTGTGTGTCCGTATCCACTATCGAGTTTCTAATGCGGTGCTTCGGATCTCTAATGACACATAGCCCATTCAGTTAAAAATGTAAACAGGAAATTGTTTTCTGGCCCTTGTGGCCCAGAAAAAAAAAATGGTCGTTTCTGCTGAGACTTAAGTTTAAAACATTCCCATAAAAGTGGGAGCTGAGGCTGGTGCTAAGCTAGCCCTGTGTGGGAACAAGGCTGGTGATAGGATATGGAGCTCAGGTATATGGTTTCAGGCATTGTCCACCGATGGCCAGAGGTACCATGAACATGATTGGAGAAGTGCCTGTCACCTAGAAAGCAGTTTGTTCTGCTGGGCAAAGAGACATGTTTGTGCTTCGAGGAATTACAGAACAGGAATTCCTTGGAAGATGCAAAGGTCTGGTCTGGAGAAATGTGACTTGGCCTTGACCACATGTCCCTGGGTTTTAGTGTTCCTGTGTTCTGCTCCAATGCCCCATCATTTGGCCTCCCATGAACCTCCCATGCTCCCATTGTGGTTTCCCTGTGTGTGCTGATGAGTTTTCTGGTTGTTCTGTCTTGCAGCCCCCCGAATCCAAGCCCAACTTCACCCCTCTCGCCATCTTGGCCCATGTTCTCGGCGCCATCCAGCCCTATGCCCACCTCATCCACGTCCAGCGACTCATCCCCCGTCAGGTCTGTTGCAGGGTTTGTTTGGTTTTCTGTTGCTGCCGTTGTTCTCTCATTGGCTTGGTCCTCTCTTCATGCAGTGTTCAGCCTCCTCGTCAACTTTGTTCCCTGCCATCCAAACCTGCACTTGCTTTTTGACAGGCCAGAAGAAGCGGTCCATGAAGACTCCAGGTAAAACCACGGATGATGACCAACCTGTTCCCGTTTATCCAAAGCTGGCCAGGGACAATGGGGGCCTCCTCTACTCTCCTGTGGTTCCATCCTAAGAGACCAAAGCCAGAAGGGACCACTTGCATGAACAGCATGACATGTTTCACACCCTTTCTAACCTTAACTCATGTTGAATTAATCTCTGATGCCTAGAGTTTGGGGAAAGGGCACCTCCTGAATAAGCTCCTCTTTTGATGGCTCTATGAATCATTTTGGCTCTCTGCTTTGGTATAAGATAAGTATAAGATAACATACAAGGGAACAGTGCTGAGGTGCATGCTGGCCTTCTCTCATTTTTATCAGGTAGCCTCAGACAACATTTATTTGTGGGGTTGGGCCACTGGCCATGAGCACTGACACCTCATCACTGAGACCAGATCCATGGGGCAAAAGATAATATAACAGAATAAAAGACAGACAGGAAGCAGTTTCTCTTTAAATTGCTCAGGGCTTATGCCTCCTTGCCCTCCAGTATACTCCAGGAACCATCTGGGCTCCCAGCCTTCTGTCTCTGTCATGAACCTGAGCACTCGCGGGAACAGGCACCTCCTCTTTTTGAGGGTGAGCGGCTTGACCTAATTCCTCTCCCCAAGGGCTGTGCTATAATTTCTCTTGCCTTGGTGACTTCCACACTTACATGCCACAATTATTTGCATTTGAGCTCTTTGTAGAAAAGAAGCTCTTCAAATACAGGAAAAGAATTGACAAAGATCATGCAGATCTCTCTGCTGTGTAGTTCCCGAGGATGGGTATTTTTTGAATTTAGTCTCTGCTTTCAGATAAACAAAATATAGGGCTGAATTGTAAATATCATGAACATTCTAGCTTTGGCCATATTTTCTCATCCATCTTTTTCTCCCAAGGTTGGGTCCAGCAGGGAGGCTTAAATAATTTATAAAGCTGACTCTCAACTTTTTAAAAAGGAAAACCCCATGCTATTTATAGAGAACTACATACATTACTCTATCCCCCTCCAGCCATTTTCAATCTATCATTTCAGTCTATTCTCATGTGAGAATGAGACAAGACATGGCCTGAACCCTATTATAAAAAAGCAAAGTTAGGTACAGAGAGGTGCCTTGGACACAGTCACTTGACTAAATGGAGCCAATGCAGAATTCAGGAGTTTGGCCCTTCAGCCCAGCTCTCTTTTTTCCAAACACATGGGTAGCCTCAACTTCAAGTTTGGTGTAGCTGCCAACCCTAGAGCCTGGCCTGTCTAGGCGTGCACAGTTTTCTACTTAGACTTGTCCTGAATGATGGGAAAACTAGATATTTCAGCATATTCTTTTTTCCTCACCCTAATAAATAAGGTAAAAATTCAGATCCTAGAACTTCTGGACGCCTGGGAGATATTTACATCCCAGGCTACCAGAGATGGTATGGATTGTGCAGGTGAGATCACTCATTGCCTCATGAGGACCTTTTCTACATTAAAGTGACCAGAGACAGCTGCCTTCCAAAATGCTCACTTACTCTTCAGAGAGACTCGAGCATTAGGAGAATGTGGCTCTTTCGTTTTCATCAAAAGGGAGTAAATAAAATATTGCCCCCTTGGACAGAATGGGTGAAGGGCCTCAAATAATGGGATCATTCAGTTACAAAAAAAAAAAAGAAAAGAAAAGAAATGTACTGTCTGCTTTACTGGTATTTACTTTTTTGTGTCCCTGAGCTGTGGGGCCCTGTTGCTTGTCAGATATCTCTACCTCTCCACTCCTTTTCCAAGGTTTTTTTTTTTTTATTTTTTACCTTTTTTTTGGGGGGGGGGGCGGTGTTTCCTTTCACTCCTTTCCACCTCTCAAGCTATTTCCAGATTGGCTGTGGACAGTGGCAATAGGCTGCTCATCTGGTGTGTTTGGGGTCATGGTTACTCAGTAGTGCCCCCTTTGGTCATTGTTAGAATAGCACCATTTGAATGATGTTCTTCCACAGCCCTTCAGGAAGCTGCCATTTTGAAATAGGCAAGGCTGAGAAGGGCTTGGAATTGGCACTCACTGAGCTACATGTGTGTTCCAAAGTGAGCACAGATGAGGACACTGGAGGACAGAGAGCCCACTAGAGGAATGCAGAGGGCTACAATCCCCTAATTGCTATTGTAGTGTGTAGCCAAGAGGTGGGGGCATAAACCCATTAATCAGGTTCAGTGAGGCCTCCCCCATATCTACTTACAAGACATGAAGCTTCAGATTTCCTTCTCTGGGCAGAGCTTTAAAAAACAAACAAACAAACAAAATACTGAATTAATAGCCCCATAAACTTCTACATAATGTCTCCTCTAGAAATGGCCTCTTCACTCCTCTTCAAACCATTTTTAGAGCTTGTTGGTTCAAGCTGGGAACGAAGCCATAAGGGTGTGGAGGGGCATTCTCTTCACATTCCCCTTTTTTTCATTTACCCACCAGCCTCCTGAGGACCCCCCCCCCCCCCCCCAGTCCCATACCCATAACTTGCATTTGCACATGTGCCCCTGGAAATTGTGCCTTAAGGATCAAGTCATTGCAACCTGCCAGCCTAGCTGACCCCACCTCCCAGCAATGCGTACAATAGAGTGGGTTGTCATTTCTGCAAGCTTGCAAGGGCATTTGAGGGAAACTCCTCTGAGTGCTTTCCTGGCCTCGTGCCATGCTCAGAAGGCAAAAATTAAAAGTAAACTAGCAGAAGGATCTAAACCTGTTCATGCCCTTGAAGGCCCAGTGGAGGGCTCAACAGTGCTGTGACGGGAGCAGCTGAAACCACCCCAGGCTGTCTTGTGTCCAGCGTTGAGGTGCACTGCCGACAGTAGGAACCAAAGATGCATGGCAAGGACTTATTTTTTTTTAATCAGAGCCAAAGCCTACAGACACAATCTTTCTGCCAAGAGGATCTGTTTTAATACGTGCCCTATGAAAAGCAAACTCCTCAAGGCTTTTGAGAGGGAGTTGTGGGATCCGGAACTTGTTGGGTTGACAGAATTTTAAAAAGATAAGACTTTCACCTGGATAGGATTGCCAGATTTAGCAAATAAGATAAAAATATGGCATACTTGGTTAAATTTGAATCATAGAAAAACAGCAAATATTTTTTAGTATATGTATGTCCCACATATACAAAAATATTCATTGTTTACCTGAAATTCAGATTTAACTAGGTGTCCTATATTTTTTCTGGCAACCCTACCCTCGGGGAACAAGAATTACTCCTTTCTAAAGCACCCCTTCTAGGATCGTAGCTCAGTGGGAGAGCACTTGCCTAGTGCACACAAAACCCTGGGTTCCACCCCCAGCGCTGCAAAAATAGATAGATAGGTAGATAGATAGATAGATAGATAGATAAAAAAAATAATGAAGGCATCCCTTCTAGCATCCCTACCCCCCCCACACACACACACCCTTTTTTGTTCCTTTTGCACATCCTAAGGTGATAGAGGAGAAGCCTCAGAGGAAAGGACCCTCCCAAAGACTGTTTAGTCACCTCTTCTCTTGAGAGAGAAAAAAAGGGCCTTTCCTGTCCTTTGTTTTTATTTTTATTGTGCTATCTTCTTGTCTTTTCATTATTCAATACCTAAAACCTAATATTAGTGAAAAGTTACTCTTTTTAAATCATAACCTTAGGCACCTGAGACCATTCCCTGTTCTTTCCACCTGCCAAATACCCCAGCTGGTTTCCCTGGCTTACCCCTATTTTGTCCTATTACCTTTACTTAATGAGGTTAATAAATAACCTCTACAAAAATCCAGTCAGAGGGACCCTGCCTTCCCCATCCCCCTGAACTTTGCCCTGCTCTGCCCTGTCCTCAAGAGGCAGTAATCCTGCTTCCAAACCTGGTCTCTAAGACCTTGGCTCCTGTGGCCTGGATTCTCCTTCCACCTCTGATGCCATGACAAGCTCCACTTACCTGTTAGTATGGTTTTAGCAGTTTTCACAGCCAGCTGACTTCTTTTCCTCTCGGTTACCCACCCCCCTTAAAAAATAGGCTTTATTTTTCTGTCCCTGGAAAGTTGCACATGAATATTCAACCCCAGCTAGCCAACACACAGACTTGGCTTAGTTAAATCAAAGAATGTGCCCTTGTCCCAAACTTTATTCTTCAATGATAGTTAGACAGGAAGAGCTACTTTCCACTGGGAATTGGTGAATACTAAAGGCTCTCTCCTTTATTCCCAATGGCCCCACTTCATTTTCTCCCACTTTCCCAATTTTTTCCCATCTGGCCATCATCTCTTAGCTATTAGAACACCAGAGAGAACAGCAGTAAACTGTTGTTGCCCTGGCAACAAATTCTGGATATCATTTATTCTGATGGCCCTACTGTACACAGACTTTTTAAGTGGTTTTTCCTTTCAGTTTTCATGGACCCAAGACTGGAAGGTCTAGACGTTTGGTCCTAGTTTAGGTTTCCATCCATCTATCACTCTCGTTTCACAGAGGAAAGTTGAACTTGGTAATGCCAAAAAAAAATAAAATAACAGTTCCAGAATGACCAAGACACCATGCCCCATCTGATTCTACCTGACCTTACCTGAGGCCAGACCCTTCCTCAGCTGAGTCTCACTCCGCCACCAGAAATCGTATACACTGCTCCTGGAGGCTCTCCATTAGTCAGTTATAGATAATTTTCTAATTCAGAAAACAACCTTGCTCTTTTTTTTTTTCCTTCTTCTCTTTTTTCCTGCCTCTGAGCCTTTAAGAGCACCTCCTCAGATGACATAGAGGAAGAGAATCATTGGTGGCCAAGGAGGCAACTTTTGCCAGATTATCATTCTGATCCTTTAGAAGTCTATATAGATTGTTTGAAACTAGTTGGACAGCAAAGCCAAAATTGACAGAGGAGAATAGAATTTACAAACTATTCTCTAAAACACAGGTTAGTACATTATGACCTGTGGTAGGTCACATTGACCCCCTGCCTGTGTTTTGTCAATAAAGTATTATTGGAACACATCCACACTGATTCATTTAAATGTTATCTGTGGCTGCTTTCTTGTGGCAGTGCAGCATTGAATAGTTGCAACAGAGACCATAGGACCAAAAACCCTAAAAGATTTACTGCATGGCTCTTTGAAGAAAAAAATCTGCCAACCTCTGATCTGGTACTGTGGTTCTCGGTCTTGATTGCATGAGAATCACTGGGAGGGTGACACCCGCCAACTTTTTGTTTTTGTTTTTTGTTTTTAAAATTCTGATGGAGGTGTTTGAATCTGCAAGTCAGTAGAATCCAGACATCTGCAATTTTTAAATGCTCCCCAGGTGTTTCTGATGCACAGTGAGAGTGTTTGCCATCACTTACTGGAATGGGGACAAAAAAAATTCTCGTCCCCTCGCCCTTCTTGCTGCACCCCCCCCCCAATACACATTGGTGCACATGTGTGCTCATGCACACATATGTGTGACTGCTCACATATACCTTCTCCGTTGCCTGCCCACCCTGAGGGTTCCTGCTCTGGAATCCTGCCCCACCTGTAAGACCTAGCCTAGTGAAAATAAGGAACATCTGGGAGAAGTAATGTCAGCCCATGGCCAGGAGCCGAGACCTGGCTCTGCTGGAATTTCTCCTTCTTGACTCGCTGAGTATTTCAAGAGTGTCGGTAGTGTTTTCAGAGCAGCTTGAAAGTTCCTTCCTGACCCTCTCTCCCTCCCCACAAGGTACTCCTGCTCCAGAAATGGGGCCCAGCCTGTCCTTCCACGTTCAGCAACCATAACTCCCAGGTAAAGTTTTAACGTGGCACAAGGTGACCCCTCACAGAGTGTAGTTTCTTAGAGCTTGTGGCTTTACTCTGAATATTTCTCATTTTTCTACTGTGACCTTTGCAACTGTCCCACCTCATGTTTTGCCATCTGGCTGCCTTGTCAGGCTCTTCCCACAAGTGAGGACTAGGTGGCCTTCAGGGAAAGGGAAGAAGAAGAGAGAAAATATCTGGGGCTTTCTGAGGTTTGGGAAAAAAAATGTTAAATAAATTCTTGTCTTCACACAGCACACCGTTCCGGAAGGCAAAGGCCTTGTATGCCTGCAAAGCTGAACACGACTCGGAGCTCTCATTCATAGCAGGCACGGTCTTTGATAATGGTGAGTTTCTCAGCCCCTTGGAAAAATATGGGGGAAGCATCTGAATAACTGGCATTCCTACCTAGGGAAAATCTCAATAGAGTGGTTAAGACCAAACCAAAATAAGAGAATAGAAACAAGACTCTGAAGACATGATCAAGAATAGACAAGTAATCAGCAATTCTTTGAGGTGTTATGAACATAAATGAGATTTTTGCCTGCAGAGGACTCAACCCAGTACCTGGCAGTAACTTCTAGAGTCTAGGTGGGGGTGCAGCTGGAAGCGGTGGTGCACATCTTTAATCCCAGCTACTCAGATGAGGCAGGAGGACTGCAAGTTCAAGGCCAGCATGGGCAACTTAGCCAGACCTTGTCTCAAAATATAATAAAAAGGACTCAGTGGTAGAATGTGCCTGAGTTTAATTCCCAGTACCAAAAAGAAAAAAAAAAAATCTGAGGTTTGGACAGAGGGTAAAACACAGAGGCTGAAGAAAGCCAGGCACAGTGGCACACACCTGTAATCCCAGTAGCTAGGAAGGCCAAGGCAGGAAGATTGGGAATTCAAAGCCAGCCTCAGTAACAGCGAGGTGCAAAGCAACTCAGTGAGACTCTGACTCTAAATAAAATACAAAATAGTACTGGGGATATAGCTCAGTTGTTGAGTGCCCCTGAGTACTGGGTTCAATCCCCAGTACTCTCCCCTCCACCAAAAAATTAAAAAAATGCTGAAGAACAGAAATGGGCTGCAGTTAGTGCGAAGGTCAGGTGGAAGTTGAGACCACCTGCTCTGTGCCTTCTTCCTCTTGTGTTTATCCTCCCCAGCAGGCAAGACATACTCCCCAGATGGCAGGGCATGTGGTAAGCTCTGGGGCAGTAAGGCTCACTGGGTTCCTGTTTATCCTCTTCTTAACTTTTGGGAACATAAACTATCTCACAATTGTCACCGTGCAAGCTTCCAGCTGTCCTACTCCAGAATCCTGCTGTGAAAATGGATGCACAGCCCCCCCTCATAAAATGGGGATTTTGTATTTGGCTTTACCACCATTTTCTTGTGCCTTTTAATTTTGTTTTTCTCCCTAAAAAATAAATTTTAAGTGACAATTGATGTCATAATTTGCCATAAAGACTTATCATTTACCAAGAGAAAAATCTGGATTCTATTGAAAAAGCCCATGTTCCTATGACAGCTCAGTTGTCCCCAGGTGAAGCTCTCCTTTAGGGTTCGCCTTCCTGGATCTCTGGGCAAAGGCATCTGTTCTTTTTCCCTCAAAGAAAGAAGCAAAGGCAGCTGCCTGGTTTCAGAAATTGGATGTTTTTCTTTGGCTGCCTCCCTGGCCTCAGGTAGGGCAGGGGTAAAGGTTTAGGAATAGATATTTTTGTTACCCAACACATTCATCTTCGCAAGTGGCCCACATTGGTCCAGATCCCACCTCCTCCCACCTGACTGAGAGCCAGCAATACAGGGCAGCCAAGGTGACCATGTAGCCTTGGAAAACCTGAACTCTAAAGCCCAGCAGTACTACAGGTCCCAGCTTGACCACTTTCTCTTGTGTGACCTCAAGCAGTGACTTAACCTCTCTATGCCCCAGTTTTCTTCTGCAATAGAAAGATGGCACTGCCTACCTTATAGAGCACTGAGAGAGGAAATTGAGGTAATGCACATCATATGTTTAAAATGGTGCTTGTATTAGTCAGCTGCCCATTGCTATGACAAAATACCTGAGGAAAAACAACTTAAAGGGGGAAAGATAAATTTTGGCTCATGGTTTGAGGTTCCATTGTTGTAAACCTGTGGTGAAGTAGAATATCATGGTGGAAGGGTTATGGTAGGGCAAAGTTGCTCACCTCATGGCAGCCAGGAAACAGAAAGAGAGAGTGATAGAGGTGGGGGGAAGAAGCAGAGACAAAATAAACCTCCCCCCCGACACACACACATACCAACTTCCTCCAAGTAGGACCCACCTAATGTTTCCATCACCTTCTAATATACCATCAACTGTGGACCAAGACTTTAACATATGGCTTTTGGGAGACACTTAAGATTCAAACCATAATAGAGCTTAACACATATTAAGCATTTAATATCTTATCATTGAGATCATCATCATCATCATCATCATCATTCTCTCTGTTTCACAAAAAGGCCCTATCTTTTCATAGATCCCAAGGACTGTCTCCTTTTTAGCCAGTATGGCCCAAGCCTGGCTTTTGGCTGGGCAGTAGGTGCTTCACCTCAACTCTATGGGTCCTGGCTATACCTGGAAGGGCCTTACATTCCAAGCTGGAGCAAAGATGAGTTCCTGGGGACCAACCCTTGACTTCATCAAAGGGCTACCACCTGTGTGCTCACCCCATGTATCTGCTTAGTGGGGATGTTAATCAATCTTGGATAGACAGAATAGAAAGCAATACAGACTTGGGGGAGAGGGTGATTCCCAGGTCACCCTCAACCCTGGGCCACCTGGGCCAGCAGAAGCAGGATTAAGCCCAGAACTTCATGTGGCCTGATTGGCCTGCTGAGCCTGTGTTTCCCTTTATGCTTCTCAGACCTCAAAGCACTATCCTTAAACCATTGTTAACTTTCACTTGGGTACTTTACAAATCAGAGTGCAAAAACCAGCCCAGCCACCTCTGCTGCCAGCAGCTGGTGCGCTCAGGTCCCAGCAGACTGGCAAGTCACAGTGGGTCTGCTGAAAGCAATCCCTGAGCATGTCATCCATGAGAACCCCCCTAATAGACCCAGCTGTAACATGACCATTTCTGCAATGAACCAGAATGGGCTGCATTGCTCAGATTTCTGTCCCCTGCTGTTGGCAGGGGAGGGGCTTCTGCTCAAAGGTAAGCAAGGTGTGAGAGAGCCCCAAATTTGTAAGCGAACCAGGAATTGAATTTCCATCCTCCAGGTCCCAGTTCCCTGCTCATGTGTGCAAGGGACCATCTTATTCCTATCAGCTATTCACCCCAAGCACACAGAGGACCAAAATATGCTTGCATGTGTTAAATTGTCACTCCTTTGATCAAGTGAAGTTTTTTTTGTTGTTGTTGTTGTTTTTGGTACCAGGGATTGAACCCAGGGACTCTTAACCACTGAGTCACATCCCCAGCCTTTTTTGTATTTTATTTAGAGACAGGGTCTCACTGCGTTGCTTAGGGCCTCAGCTGCTGAGATTACAGGCGTATGCCACCATGCCTGGCTTCTTTTTCCATTATTAAAATACCTTTATTGAGATATCCATATACCATTGTGGATTTACCCATTTAAAATCTACTTTTCAGTGGTTTTTAGTGTATTCAGAGTTGTACACCCATCATCTAATTCCAGGATATTTTCATCACCCTCCCTCAGGAAATATCCACACCCCCTACCAATCATGCCACATTTACCCCAGCCCTCCTCCAGCCAGCCCAAGGGAGCCACTGATCTACTTTCTGCCCCAATAGATTTGGCTGCTCTGGATATTTCATACACATAGAATTTCACAGTATAACTGGCTCTTTTTACATTGTATAATGTCTTCAAGGTTGATCCATGAAGCCTATGTCAGAACTTCATTCCTTTTGTGGCTGAATAATGTTCCCCTGTTCGGATCTATACCACATTTTATTTAAACATTTATCAGTGGATGGACATGTCATTTGTTCCCACTTTGGGCTGTTATTAGTAATACTGATGTCCACATTCAGCTATAAGTTTCTTTGAAGACGTATGTTTCCACTGGTCTTGGGGATACACCAAACAATGGGATTCCTGGGTCACATACTAACTCTTTTTAACTAAGGAAGTGCCAAATTGTTTTACAAGGAGCTTGTATCATTTTATATTCCTTCCTCCTTTCCTGTGAAGTGTCCTTCTGAAGAAGTTTAAATAGTTAACCAAAAAATAAGATACTCATGTGATTTTTAACTGCCAATTCCATTTCTTCCCAGCAGGGTGCTCTACACCCACCCTAGACTTGGTAATCATCATAAATCTCATGGTGGTAAATGAGAGCAGGAGAGAGGTTGGGTTGAAGGGGTCCGGGGCCTTACCCAAGCCTTTCTGTGATCTCCAGGAGTCATGGCAGAGTTCACTGACCCTAGTTTGTTTTTAACCAGCAATGCCAGTGACCTTTCCAATTCCCTAAAGAACAGTGCCAAATTAAACCTGAAAGAAAACACCTCTTGGTGTTAACTGAGCTGCAGTCAAAGATGGAACTGACAAAATGTTAATCCACTTTTTAGATTGGTTTGGCTGATAATATTTTATTAGGTCCTATTTTTATTAGATTCCTTCACCTCTATATGAAAAATCAGGCATTACAGGAGAAAAGAAAACTATTGATGGGTTCAACAGAGGGGTCTTTTTCCCTTTCTGCCTCTCATAGGTTTACTGCTGGAGGTATTAGGTAAGGGCTGTTTAACTTGGATGCTCTGTAGCTGTCAAATGAAATCATCACACCAATCAGAAGAGAGTTTCCTAATGACAGGTTCAGAAGGCACGTGGGCTCCTCTGTGCTGTGTGTATGTTGTACCTCTTGTGTTTTTATTTTCAGGAATAAAGAGGAGGAGGAGGAGGGGGAGGGGGAGGGGGAGGAGGGAGGAGGGAGGGGCACACGGAGGCAAAAGGCTGTTGTTTCATAAGGGTTGATCTCAGCCTTGGACTCCAGGCCCGTGCCCTGACTCAAGCAGCTGCTTTGTCAGCTCTTGGACTTTGGTCAGTGGGGGGATGGACATGCAGTACTCGGAAATAACTCCAGTGTCAGCCTTTGCCAGTCTACTAGGAAACTGTGCACTTCACCAGGAGCACCTCACACAGTAACTGGAAAGAGAAATACCTCGTGTTCTCAAGAACATTAGTCATCTGGAAGCAGTGTGATCAGCAATACCTGGAAAATTCACATGGCAGTCACTAAAATTGGGTTCTTGGGATACTTTCATCAGGATCTGAGATGAGCTAGAGCCCTTGGTGGCAGTGCACAGGGTACAGCACTGGTGCTGGGCAGGGTTATCCCAGGTGCTGCATGCTGATGGAGCGCATCCTCACCAGGGAGCCTCCAAGCTGCCCAGGAAGTGGGGTTCTGGGAGGGCTGCAGGTGGGGTGCTCTTTCAGCCTCCCTCACTGTCTTCACTGTGACACCCAAGGCTGGGTCACCTCCACTTCTCACTTGGGCATGTCCACCAGCCACCTAACAGGTCTGGTCACTTTCATTCTTTCCCCTGCAAAGCATTCTCTATGAAGCAGCCTGTGGTCTTTGAAACATGGAATTCACATCATGTTATTCCCCGCATATAGTACCCCAGCAGCCTCCCCCTACTCTGGGAATTATTTATGAGGCCCTCTGTGGCCCAGCTCCTGCCCTTCTGACCTCCTCTCTCCCTCACTTGATATGCTGCAGCCTCACAGGTCACCTTTATGTTTTGAAATAGGGTTGGCAAACCCTATTTCCCCTGCCAGTCAAATCCAGCCCTCCACCTGTTTTTAGAAATAAAACTTTATTGAAACACAGCCATCCATGTTTTTTTTTTTAATTGACATCTATCTGTGGCACTACAGTGGCCGAGTTGCCAGAGATGTATTTATTATAAGGCTCTTTATGAAAAATATGCAGACCGCTGTTCTCAACTGACCCCAAACTCTTGCACAGCTGAGGACCTTGGTACTTGCATTACCACCTCCTAGCTGATTTCTTTTGGATCATTCAGGTTTTAGCCTTTTGAGCTCCTCTCTCCCTACCCAGATTCCTTTCCCAGTCTCTCTCTCCTCTTAGCACTACCTGAAATGATATGCTTGTTTATTGATTGATTATCCCTCCCTGGGAGCAGACTCTTGTCTGCTTGTTCTGTATGCTACCAACAAGAACAGTGTCTGGCACACATTAGTTGCTCAATTGTTAAATGAATAAATGTATTTCAACCATACAGAGGTCCATATCTCTTCCAGTTAAGGTTTCTTCCCCCAGGGACATTAGTGATCTTAGTCACACACTTGCCCCCAGTCCACAGTGAGCTAAGGAAGGGAGGGAACTTGAGTGTAGGTGCAGGGGGATACAACTTGAGTTATAGGGCATAGCCAAGGACATGGCTGAGGGAGAGTGGGAGGCAAGAAGCACACCCATTTCAGCAGCACCTTATATTTATTATATGCTTGGTGAGCTGGAGAGCCGCCCAGGCAGCCTGCATCAACACCTCTAGTGTTTCTATGGCACATTGAACACTGGTGCAATTCAGAGTGCTGGGCATCAATCAGAGCAGTTCAGCCCACCAAGCTCTCACTGAACATCTTCAACATTCAGAGCACTGAGCTAGGCCAAAGCAGTAGAGGTTAGGACCATAGGCTCTCAGGTCAGGTGTCCTGGGCTCTGATATGCTTCCATCATATAGATATATTGTCCAAAGTATCTTGTCCAAAATTACACAGATACCAGCTGTGTAATTTTGGACAAGATACTTAACCTTTCTGAGCCTCAGTTTCTCATTGGTAAAATGAGGATCCTAGCAGAACCATCTCCACAGTCACTCTGAAGATGAAAGCAGGTGATGTGGAAGCACTTATCAGCAAAGGGTCTACCGCTACACATGTCTACACATGTGTTGTCATTCGGATCTTTAAGGAGCACATTCCCTGGTTGAATAGAGGCGGGATATAGGATAAAGGGCTTGGTCTCTGAAATCAGACAATTTGTGTTCAAATTCTGTTTCTACCGTTAAGACCATGTATAAATTAATTCACCTGCCTGGGCCTTATTTTCTCATCCATAAAGTAGGGATGAAGATAATAATACAAATGAGGACAGTGAAGGTCAGATAATCAATATATCTATAATTTTGAGCACACAACTGCTTGATAGTGAGCATTTCTAAATGTTCCACCAAGCAGGGGGAAGTATTGAAGTTGTCACGCCAGGGAGTGCTAATGCACTAAAAAACTATGTAGAGAATCAAAGCTTCACATTGGAGCAGTTTATTAATAGGATCCCCAAAACACTACATGGGATGTCCCATGAGTCTTCTAGGAGTCAGGAGGAGGGAGCGAGCAGGCGGAAGTGATTGCATGATTCTAATGAAGCTGGGGCTTCAGCTAAGTCTTAAAGTATTGACAGAAAACTGAAGACGTCTGGAAGAAGGGACATCTGGGGCTGCCTCCCTCCTCCATCAGTTAATAAAAACTTGCAATTTAATTTTTATTTCCATCTTTATTACATAGGCATTTTGCACAGAAAAGTCAAAGCTCTTCTGTGTACCAATTAAAATACAGATTCCTAGGCTCCAAGAATTTAGAGATTCTTCTTTAATTCATTTGGTGGGGCCCAAGAATCTGGTGAGCATGCATGTGATGATGATTCACATGATTGGCCACTACTGTCTCATAAACCCTTACTTGAAGACCCTGTGCATCAGCAGACTGACCCAAGGCCTGCTGCATCCCCTGCCATGCCATATGACATATGTCTTGGCCTCCAGTTTGAAGGGCCTCCCTTGTCCCCTCTGATTTTTCCCTTAATCTGCAAAATATGTCTCTGGTGTTTGCAGATGTTACTACATCAGTACCTATGCTGTTTGAACAGCTAGCCAGGAAGGGCGACATGTCTACAGGAGGTGAACTTGTGTGCCCAGTGTATTAACAGCTCGGCCAGGAGCTATGCCGTGAAGCTGGGCGGGGGGGTCGTTTGGTTGTTTTTTATTTTGTTCAGTTGGTTTATTTTTTTCTTTCTAGGCCTTTCATTTTGGGGAATGGGTTTGACTTGTTCATTTTGATTCTCAACCTCTGAGGTTTCCTGATGCCTTAGTGGGTATGGAGAGTTGGCCCTCACCCAGGTTTTACTAGGGTGTCTAGTCAGCTAGTCCACATGACCAGACAAGTGATGCATGGTCCTCCCCAACTAACCTTACCAAGCATTTATGATGTGCCTGGCCCTGGGCAGTGCTTCACACTTATTGTCTCCTCTAATTGACACAAGAAGGGGAAAGATGTCATTGTCACCACTTCATAGGTACAGAACTGGAAGTGATATTGGCAGCTTCAGCTGGGCAGGTGGGCTGAGGACAGGGGTATCTGGGTGCTGTTCAGGGGTGGCCTGAGACCTTGGTGACTAGAAAGGCCAGATGGCTTTTAAGTTGTGTGTGTTCTTGTGTAGCACTTCTCTCCAGACTCTTCCTTGTGTGGGTTGCCATGGATGTAAAGTATCCTTGCTTACTTCAGCTTTATTCTTAAAACCTAGTGAGGGGCTAGGGTTGTGGCTCACAGGTAGAGCGCTTGCCTCGCAATGTGAGGCACTAGGTTTGATCCGTAGCACCACGAAAAAATAAACAAACAAAGTTATTGTGTCCATCTACAACTAAAAAAAAAAAATTTAAAAATTAACCTAGGGCAAGAAACTGAGCAGGATTTTGGAGGCCAAGGAATAGACGTGTGACCTGTGCTTTCCTAAGGAAGCATGTGAAGCAATGCATTTGACATTGATCTTCTCTAAGCCTCAGGGCCTGTCCTTTGCTCCCTCCCCATTTGCTTCCTTTGGTTTCTGTTTTTGCTTCTTTCCCTACAAACCGAAAGTAGAATTATATAGTAGTGTTGGGGCGGAAATGCTTTTCTAAAACAAGCTCAGGAAGTTACTTAATTAGCCCAGGAAGGGAACAGGGGAAATTCATTTTTTTCCAAACAATCTCATGTAATTGGAGTTTTCCTAATACATTAAGAGTAAATGTCCTGCCACACCCCAGAGATCTGCATGTCTCCCTTCACAAATGCGGACACCTCCCACCTCCTGGTCCCACAGCTCCTTCTTTCTTCCTTCCTGCTATTGACTACTTTGCAGACTCAGCTGGATTTTTCTATCATCTTTGTAATATCACAGTGGTTTCCATGGAGATGAATTATGATGTCACAAAAATGGATCTGTGTTCTTTGGATACTGAAAAAATCAAAGGATCAGTAAACTTGGGAAGTGGCAGTAGAAGGAAGAAGAGGACAGCTTTCAGACTTGTTTATAGGAAGGGGGAAATTTCTAGAGTTACAGAGGAAAGAAAAGTAAGGATGTGGGAGGGACAGCTCACTCAAAGGCTGCAAAATGAAAAAAAAAAAGAATTTGCAAGGAAATTAGAAGCAGAGGGTAGGATTTGAAGGAAAATAAAATACATGATTAAAAGCTAGACGTCATTAAAGACTAGTTCTTAGCAGTCCTTATGAGCACTCTACTTGGTGATACTGAGTAGCTAGGTGGGTACATGGATGGATGGATACATACATGGATGGAGCACCCAACTGTTAACCTCTAACCTAAAAAAATACAAATCTGTCACTTAAGTTGGAACAAGATCTTCACAAAGCCCTTCAAACCCCTAAAATTGCATGCAAAAAATTTTAATGCCTATGTCCGTTTCCTTTTTGTTGTGGAAAAAAAGTTCAGAACAGCCTTCAGCAGAAGGCTGATATCCCACGAAAGGTTAAGAACCTCTGGTTTAAACGAGCCCCAGAATTATGTAATCTAACAAGTGGTTGCACTTATTCCCCAAACTTCTTGACACACACACACAACACACATCCAGCATTTGCGCTATGTATAATGTCATTTCTTCTCGCCCTCTCTCCCCTTCCCATACAGTCCATCCATCTCAGGAGCCTGGCTGGTTGGAGGGGACTCTGAATGGAAAGACTGGCCTCATCCCTGAGAACTACGTGGAATTTCTCTAACCATGGGCCCCAGCAGAACTGCTGAGCTTTACATGGTATCCATGACAACCGCTGATTCCAGTGTTGTAGGCCAGTTCTCATTTTGCCACTGAGAAAAGCAGGAAGACTAACTCCAGTGCTACCTGTCGACATGAATGTTTCTGGGAACTCTTGTCACCCATCTCCACAATCATCTCAGCTAACGAGAGGCAATACTGGAAGAAACAGAAGGCAATCAACAGAGGAGGCCATTTGATTTTGATAAGAGAAAGGCTTGCAAAGCTATTTTTTCATGAGTGCCCTAAACAGGGAGCACTGATTTTGTTTCAACAGTCATTCAAACCCCCAACCTTTAAAGGAGGAAGTAAGATATATACAATCCCCAAGGGCACACAGCATAGCTAAGTTTGACAGAGAAAAAAAAAAATACTGGCACCAAGGTCCAGGCTGGGTCCCTTGCTTTTGTTTACAACAGTTGCTCTTTCTGTCCTGCCTCTAATTCTGAAAACCCACAGTGCTGCAGACAGCTGGGTCTGTCTGTTTGCATGCAGGATGGAGAGGGGTGACAGCTCTGTTTATATAACATCCAATCTCTCACCATCTCCAAAGCAGCCCTTGGCCCATCATCAGCAAAATTCAGTCCATTCCTCTTATGCAAAGGAGCATGCACACTCCCTCCTGAGCTGGAAACTTCTCTGCCATTGAGGGCTGCCATCACCTAGTAACCATGGCAACCCAACCTACTCTAAAACCAAACCAAATAAATAAATAAATAACACACACCTCTTTGCATGACACAATCCCCCTTCCCCATTTTGGGTTTTTGAATGGTCTTCCAATCACCTGGAGCAGAGGATCAAGGAATTAGGGTCATCTACTTGGGGAAGACAGGATAGCAGCTAGGAACTGTTGCCTCTCTAATGAATTTCAGAGGTATCAGGATATATTTGGAGAAAACTCCTCTAGCAATGTCTTGAGATTATAAATAGGCTTAATATTTCTGTTCTTCATAGAACTGGTATTTGCTTTCTAGAGGGTAAGATGCCTCCTTTCCAGTGGGTGACCATCTGACTGGTTCAGTTGTGTCCCCCCATTCACTTGGTCCCTCTTAGTCACTAGTCCCTGCCCTTGGGGATTCCCACCTCTGGCTCTGTTGCAGTGTTTTGGGCTGCTGAGCACTGGTGCCCTGTGGTTTTCAGGGATGCTTCCCAGGCTGACTCTATGGTCTATAGGATAAAAGGACATCTACTACATTCACTGCCACCCAGAAAAAGGGAATCATTTCTCAAGCTTTCAAGGAATGAGATAAATATCATAGGCCATTGGAATTCAGGAAGACACCAGAGTTGGGGGCATGGATGATGGAATGGATACCTTCTAAGAAAGGGAATTTCCTACTCAAAGGGCTGGGTCTTGTGGAAGATTGTCTTGGATGGGGAAGTTCCACCTGGACATTTCAAATTCACTTGACCTCCAAAGAACAGAGTCACCATATCTTCCATGTGTGAATCTTCTTATAAGAAGGACAACAATAAACTGTCAATCTCCCCAGGAGTCCCTTGGAAGGCAGCATTGCTCCAGAGTGTCCTGTTTCTGGAATTCCGTTAGGGACCTCTAATGAAGAAAAGAAAAACTTGAATTGTGTTGAATTACTGTATCTTTTTCTTTCTTTTTTTTAAAGATAAACTTGTAAATAGAGTGATTTGAAACACTATATGGCAAAGTTTTATATTTGATATTCTTTAAGCTAGTTGCTTCACATTTAGGCTGTGATTGCTGAATAAGTGTGTTTCAGAGTGAGAGAAAGGAGGCAAGGTGGAAGAGTCAAGGTCATTGTGCCCTCTGGCCTGGCAGCAGAAGATATGCCCATGTGCCTGCTTTCTGCCGGCTCCTGTTGATGGGTGCAGCAGATCGAAGTGGTTTGGTCTTCTCTATTTTACATGTGTTTTTGAGCATTCTGGGATTTGGAGATAGAAAGAGCATCTTCAGGCAATGAGATTTTTCCAAAAATGCCCACTTAGCAGTAAGCTAAAGCTCAGGATTCAAATAAGTGGGTCCAGGGATGAAGTTTTTTATTTGGGTGGGGGGTGTTGTTTTGTTTTGTTTTCATTTTGATTTGTCTTGTTTTTCATTCTCAGGTGTATCTCTTGGTGTACTCCAAGGTGTTAAGAGAGAAGGAGATGGGACACTTGGTTTACCCCTTACTTCTCTCTGCATCTTCTAAGGCTTTATCCATGGGGACACTCCACTTTGTAAATTGAGTCTATAAGTTAAAACAAAAGAGCCAGCTGCTCTGGATCTTTAGTTCCTGATGTGCTGCTGCTTTCGCTTTTCTCCTGCTCTATTTTACCTCTAGATTCCCTGCAACCCCCAAATAAGAAAAAGACCCCAAGAGGGATGTATATTGTGTCATTACAATTTTCAAGATGGCTTTGAAGCTAGCGGAGTTTGTGATTCACTATTCAGTTTATCAGCTCCAGGATTATACAGCTGATATCTAGGAACTCACCCAGAAGCAAGTGAGACATAACACTTGAATCAAAGAAGAATTAAGCATGTACAAGACCCAGACAGAACTCAAGAAAGCTATTGTTGAAACCCAAAGAGAAAAGGAATATACTAATGTGTGCCCAGCCTGTTCCCTATGGGCTTGGGAACAAGGTGGGAGATGAGGGGCATGCACACTTATTTACATATCATTGTACTTTCCAGATTTAAAGAGCCCAGGATAATGCTTTTGATGCATTTGATGTTTTAATTTGTCACCTGACCCATAGTACTTGGAGTTTAATGTAAAGGAACAGAAGTAATATGGTGGAGCACACTATATAGCCATTTGGCCCCAGCTTGAGTACTTGGAAGTGTGTCCTTCCCCCCGAGATGGCCCTGTGTTGAAGCTTCTACCAACAGAATCTTTTAGGCAGACACTTCCCAGCTTCCCTGAAGCCATTCTGGGCCCGTGACAGCTGTTCTGTTTAGCTAGGCTTCTCTCCCTATCAGCTGAAGAACTGGAGAAACTGTCCAGAATATGAACCGACCAGTAGGAAGGAACTTGAAGATTAAAAATGAATTTTAAACTGGGTGCTGTGGCATATTCCTGTAATCCCAGTGGCTTGGGAGGCTGAGGCAGAAGGATCTCAAGTTTAAAGGCCAGCCTCAGCAACTTAGTGAGGCCCTAAGCAACTTAATGAGACTCTGACTCAAAATTAAAAACAAAACAAAACATAAAAAGGGTTAGGGAAGTGGCTCAGTGCTTACATGCCCCTGGGTTCAACCCCTGGAACAAACAAACAAAAAAAAAAAAAAATGAATTTTACTCTCTCCATTATCCAGGCCTCCCATCCCTAATTCTTTCTGCTTGAACAGGGAACTCTAAGGCAGATTAGAGAAATGAATTGGTATCAGAGTAGAAGATCATCCATGAGGATCCCAAAGCTCTCCTAGGAGCCTTGAGTTTCCTTTATATGACTCATAGCCTGAATCTTTGGGGGTTATCAAGCTCTGCCTTTCACTCCTCCTTCAGGCACTCCCAGAAGCCCACAGTTAAACAATTCCATGCCAGGAGAGGATAACTTGCATCACATCCCTGCCCCCAGGCAAAATCCTGACTTTCACAAGACTAATGAAATTCTCTGCAGTTTTTCAAAATAAACATGCCATACCTCAGAGGAAAGTCTTTCTGTCAACTGAGTTTGCCCCCCAAAATGGTAATCCCTGTCACACTAAAAGCTCTATCTTGACTACAGAGGCTCCAAAAACATTCCTCATTGATGGCTGGCAAACAGAAGGTATGCTGCAGGTAGCCAGGTTGTCTGTTCATGACCATTATTGGTACATTTTGTCCTCTGACTTCTGTTTCCAAAAGCAAGATTGGATCAGAGTTTTATATAATGGGACACCCGGCTGCACCAACGGCCACCATGATACCCATTGTTTGCTTTGCTATTGAATGTTTTACGAGCAACCATGTTCCCCAAATAGGTAGCCAGCACTGAAGGAACCAAAGCTTCTTAGCTGCCTGGCTTTCAAAGGAATGTCCTAGGTGTCTGTCTAGGGAGTTATCTATCATCTCTGGCAAAGTTGACAATAATCAATTATGGTGACAGTCCTGCCCTACATCTCTTTAAAGTCAGCCAGGTGCCCTCTCACACACCCTGTGCTGGTGTTTAAAAAATGTCTCTTATGCTCAAATGTGTTTGGCAGTCACGCTGATCTTCTGGGTGCTGAACCACTTCTCCGTAATTGTAGCATCAAAATGACAACAGTGCAGAGCATGGAACCTTGCACAATCCTGCAGCATGCCTGAGATACTCCAGCAAGTAATAATTAGCTTTCTTCCTTTTGCCGCCTACAGTACTTGTCTAACTGAAGAGCTTCCCAAAGCAGACAGAGAGGCCACATAGAGAATCCCGATGTGATTCAGAGCCAGCCCTTGCTGAAATGTAGTCTCTCACGGATGCACCTCTGTTCCCGAGAGAAAAAGTATTGGATGTAGGGAGTGTGGCGAACCATTCTGAGAAACTCTGGATTATTTTAGAGGGATAAAATATTGTTTTTAATGGGGAGGAAAAACAACTACAGAAAAATTTCACAATTAATATTTTTACAAAATCTTGGTGGGACATTATAATGTGAAAATGTCTTTCAATGTGGAATGGTTTAGAGAGCAAAGACAGCTCAGTCCTAGACCCATGGAAGGAGAACAGTTAGCCATTGTGTCCAACTTCACAGTAGCATAGTCAGTGAGAATCAGAGTATTGATAACCAAAATGTCCGAGTTCCTGGAACAGCCCTCTTGAGGCTATGACAGTCTCTGTCATTATATACCATTCATTTGTACAAAGTTGTCCAAGTGAACACTTATAAGCAGCTTTCTTGGTTATTCAGATGCCAGGATCAACCTTATATCTGTGAAAAGATATATCTGATGATTCTAAGGTGTAAATGTATGTGCTTGTGTGTGTGTGTGTGTGTGTGTAGTATATATCTACACATGTAAAGATACAGACTCATACAAAGATCCACATGAGGAGGCTGTTGATTGCCTAGCAAAAGATCAAAGATGTAAATTAAGTGCCATTTAAAATCTGTGTTCATATTTATCAGGTAGTGTTATCTGCAGCTATGTTCCTTCTTAACTTATTAAAAGTCATGTTGAAAAAAGATCAGTTCCATAGACGCTTAGTAGCTAATGCTAGGCTAGTGTTCAAAAACACTCTAAAAGACAGTGTGTCCATATTTTGGGAAAGAAACTATTTGCATGTTTAATTCATAATTTAGATTACCTCTGAGTATACTGTAAAATGCTGTGTGATATAATATCAATAAAGTACTTATAAAATGGCACTTTAATGTTTTCTTTAAAAAAAAAGAATGCACTGTTTTAAACTTCAGTATTGAATATTGACTGGTGCATAGAATCAGTTTCCATAATTAAAAAGTAATCTGTGACTAGGATAGAACTTTTCCCCTATTATTAGAAAAACATTTTACTGTGTTCAGGCTTTTTAAAAATGTGCTTTGGTGTCATACGTGTATCTATAAAAAACACACAATTTCGGTCAAGCAGCCTCTAAAACTCGGCTTTCTTATATTTGCTTAGTTATGTGACAATCCCTATGAAATGAGTGGAAGTATGACTTTTGAATTAAATGACTTTTCCATTTGGTGGTATGTCTGTTTCTTGAGTTTCTGATAGCTTTGGCTCAAAGTATTTTAATATTTCTTCAAATGAACATGTAGACCGTGATCAAAGATCCCAAATCGAGGCTCCTGCAGTTATTTTTGTGTGTGTTTGTTTTTACAGTGCTGGGGATTGAACCCAGGGCCTCACACATGGCCTGCAAGTGTTCTACCACTGAGCCACACATCCCCAAGCCTCCTGCAGTTATTGGTGACAACCAGAGGACTGATTTTTTTTAATGAACTCTGAGGAGCTTTATTTCCATTTAGGAAGAGGTCAGATGCTAGTGCACTTTGAAGATGGGCTAATCAGGCAATTTACACAATGAAGCCCCCAAAATTTATGTCCCACATTACATTTCTGACTTTGTCTCCCAGGGGCACATTGTTTTATTTTTTCTAAATTCACTGTTCTGATCAACTGCTCTTCTCCTGAACTTCATGAACACAGTATGGAATAGGCAAAAAGCCCCAACACAAGCAGGCCAGCCCATGTTCCTGAGTCTTAGTCCTCAGACGCCTTTCAGGAACATCCTGCACTGCAGCCTGGGACCAGGTTTATAATGAGCTCCCAGCTTCTGCTGCAAGCTGAGCCACTTCACTGACATCTCTGAAGGAGGGAGTCTGGGGAAGCCAGATCTGTGAGAACTGAGGTGAGGCTTCTGACTGCAGCTGCTTTCCTGGGGGAGGAGGACGAATGTGAGGCTCCCTTGGTGCCTGAGTCTAAGGAGGGGACTGTTGGTGTGGCTACACCTGAGCTACCTGTGTGGCCCTCCTTGGCTACTACTTCAGGTGCTGCCCTCCGTGGTTGCAGTTTCCTCTGGAAAACTCCCAGCACCTGAAACTTTCCGCCTGGGTAGGGACCTTCAGGACCTAGCTGAGGCCCTCTGAGCACAGCACACATATGTATCTGCCATGGTTGTGGAGAGGAGGAAATACGGTAGGCGAATCTTACCTTGGCCTTGGCCTTCCCAACAGACTCCTCAGTCACTTCAATTCTCACATCTTCCTAACACGAAAGATTTTCATTTT